GTAATTAGTCCAGAAGAAATAAATGCCTTGCTCATCTAGGCGCATCTTTGCTGATCCTATGAATGAACTTCTCTGAAATGTAATAGCAGAAATACATACATTATGCAACACAGTAGTTGGTCATCTACATATCTGGACATGTGTCACGCTGTATTAAAACACAACAAAAAAATCACACGGCTTTTGTTTCTCTACATAGAAAACGGCTCAATAAATAAAGTGTAACTAGATACAGTGTTAAAATACAGTATTCTATAGAATCCTGAAGTGCATTGGCCTAACCATCCATATTATAAAGTTTTTAAAAAGTTTACATATGAACAGGTTTCTCCCCGGTATGACTCGCAAATTGATTTTTTTTTGAAAGAATGGAATATGATGTGTTAGCATGTACTAATTATGAAAAATGGCAGCCATTCAAAAACAATTCAGACATACAAATTTGCACTAACCCCTACAACCACACTGCACATAACATTCCCCCTCACCCACATACATTGAATCCTCAGTACCTGTATCATAACTCACACAGTCTGTTGGGATAGACAGTACATATATTGCAGTGGATAAGCAGGTTCATATTCTCCAGCTAGAAAAAGCATTATGTAATGACATAACTGCTTACTCTGCAAGGGAAAACTTGTTTGCATATGGCCTATTCACCTATCTGTATTCCCTATCTCTGGATTGTCACTTAGAAGAATTATGTGACAGGTACTGAACAATAAAGGGACAGCATTAACTCATTTTTATCTTAAGGACAAATGATAGGGGGGGAAGTGAATTATGTGGGCTTAATTTCCCATGGAAAGGCAAACCAAGGTCTTATCCACATAGTCCTGGGACAATCTGCTTTAGTAATTTGAGTGGGCCAACATAATTATTTGCTCCCAATTCCCAAATAAGTATTATTAATATTATAAAAAAATATTTCTATTAGCACTTCTTTACTTACAGAATATGACTGCAACTATTGTGGGCCTTTTTAATCTATGAGCTCTTATGGGTTTAATGCAAATTTCCATCTGATAAGCAATACCCTTTAGTAATCAATTGACAAAAACAAGGTGCTTTCAACATATGTAATAATAGCCACAAATTGAGGTCCCAGAATCGTCACTTGTGACATGAGCATTGGGGGCAATACTGATGGCACAAAAAAAAAAAATCAGGAGCACATGGCGCGCTTCAGGGCTTATTTAATAAGGCAAAGGGGAATATGCAAACTGCAGCAGCCACGAGCACCTCAACCAAACATCTGCTCTCCCTGTTTTACAAACTGTTCTAAAATGAAAAGTAAAATCTGATTGGCTGTTACAGGGTACTACACATCCATGCAAAAATCGAATTCTCGCTTACTCAGTCCTGCAAGTTGTCAAAAGGGACCAGTAGGCATAATATATGGACCTCGTCAACCACTCTTGTCTACCATCTGAATATCTGTAAGCTTGAGGTCTACTCTAATCTATGGAAGAACCAACATTGGGGCACATATGCAAAGCTTAACCAAGCCGTTCCACAAAGATGTTGCATTACACCAGAGGCCCTTATTAAAAGGCACAGATGTTTTATGGGTCTACACTACACAAAACTATACTATTATTCACATCATCTGCACTCTTTTCCTTGCCTTACAAAATAAGCCCAATGTATATTAAAAAACAAAAACAAAACTGTACTGGAAATAAAGCCCAACATAAACTAAGATTTTGTTTAGTTCTGGATAGAGTGGAGGTGCAGAACTTCTCTCAGGTTTATTGCCATGTTCCCATTGAGATTTCCCTTGATTCTTGTTCTCTCAGACCCCAGTTAAGTAGACAGGAATTAAGGAAAAATCTCCCCGATGCAGATACAGGCAGCAATAAATCCCTGCCAAAAGTTACAACCCTTCTCTTACCCTATAATATAGAAAAAACATAGTCTGTAGTTGGGTCTCAAGCAACCAAAGATGACCACCTAGAGGTGCATAAACATTTATTTCTCATCCTGAGCGTCCCTCTTGTTGGCAGCACTACCCCTGCTTGTTTGCAGGGGTAGTGCTTAGAGTCAAATTCTGAATATTGTATGCTCTGAATTTCGGGTGACATGGTCAGAACGGTGTACAAATATTTCCAAAGGCACCTCTAGACGTCTTCATATTAAAAGCTTAGATCTCATCTTTTGTTGCATATTCTATTTACAGGTACAGTTTAAATAAAATGGGAACTAAAAGCCCGACACCAAATAAAAAATGTTTTTGCCACTGGGACAAGGAGCGAAAGATCTCCCCAAATGAGACAAAGCCAGCAAATGAAACAAGCAATTTGGTCATGATGTTTGTGTTGCTGTCCGTATCCCGGTTGGGATGATTTCCCTCACTTCCTTTGGTAGCCAGGACAGGAAATGTCCTAATGGACCCAAACATAATACAAGTCTAATAGAAATTTTACAATTTCAACTCTAATAAAAAAAAAAGGTTGGGTTTGGGTTGTGCTTTAAGGAAAAGGCTGTATATCAAATCAGTTAAACTTTTTGGAAACGACATGCTTTAAAAACAGAAGCTGTTCCCAATAAGAAAAGACATTGGTTTCTTTAAGTAAGTAGAACTCCATAATTAAGAAGATCACCTTTTTGCAGGTTAGGAATATTTTGTTCACTTTTGACAATATTAATAGAACCCCCATTATTTTATAATATCTAATTATTCAAGCATGTCCAGAAAAAAAAAACAGTAGGGGGAAAAGCACATCTGCTAAACATGTACAATTAAATAAATTTACTTTAGCTGCTGTAAGGTATAGGCACTTGATCAAAGTGGCCATGTGACCTAATTTCACATCTCCAAAAAAAGCTTATAAATGCATGATATCATGAGGTTAGGATCCATACAAACAAGATCGTTATGAAAAAGCTATTAAAATACAGAAAATCATCATAACACATTGCCGTAAATGTGAAAAAAGTTTTTTTCTTTAGGGTTTTTTTTTTTTTTTGTAGTTAAAAAAAAAAGTAAAAAATAAAATTAAAAATGGTTCCTTCAAGAGAATGATTTCCTAAACTTAAATGTACTGTAAATATGTGCCTTCTCAAACATCCATCCATTTGCTGGTTATAATTATAAATACTAACAGTTTGCACTTAACCTGAAAAATGTAAAAATCCTAAACTATATTGTCCACTACTCAGTATTGTTCATTTAATAAAGTACTAAAAATTCAGCATATGAAACATAACAATAAATTTACTACACTAATTATTTAACAGTAATAAACTGACAAGAAATATTTCCTCAGTTCACAGTACACACAAAAAGCTCAATATTATCGCATATTAAAAAAAAAAAAGAAATCTACAAAGCAGCTTAAAGCAGTTTATAATAACCTCTAAACAGAATCCCTGGTTAACAAAGTGCTTTAACAAGAATTAAACTTCTTCAAAATAACCTAGTAAAAAATAGTGCTAGACTGATTCCAAGCTCACAAGTTTTATGTAGAACATTTCTGTCACATGAAGCACCAAAATATATATATATATACACACATTGACTCGGAGACCTCAAGATGAATTTTTACCCCTATGTCACTGAGGAATATTCTTTGTCTCTTGCAGACCTTAGAAAATTTACTTTGCTAGGTTAGATCGCAGCCCTTAAAGGCTTGTTCCACCCAAGCTGGTATTTTTGTTATGGGTGAGTGAATCTGGGTTGGATCATCCACCAGCTTCTTATATCTCGAGGACTCCAATTGACAAGTTCTCCTGTACAGAGTCTGGCTCTGGCCCCAACCCACTCCATGTGCAAATTTACCTTAATAATCTGACACTAGAGTTGCAAACAACCTTCTTCATTCTCTGTAATGTAAAATGAAGAAAACATCTAGGGAGGACAGTACATCCCTTGTAATGGCCATGGCACCTAGGCGGAGTTGGGAAATTTAAGTGCTGAGGACCCCCTGACAGATGTAAGGAGCTAGTGGACAATTACTCCTGCTGGTATTAACCCAACATGTAAGTATCAGCTTTGGGTGGACTGACCTTTTAACCTAGATTGAAAATTACATTTTCTTCTACAGAAATTTCATAATTCTAAAACAGATTGAGGGGAATTTATCAAAACTGGAGCAGACAAAATCTAGAGCAGTTGTGCCTGGCAACCAATCAGCTTCTCTCTTTGATTTTCACATCTTAACTGAACAAACTGCAGAGAGAACTGATTGGTTGCCTTGGGCAACTGCTTTAGATTTTATCTGCTCCAATTTTGATAAATTCTCCCCACTGAGATTAAAGCAATGTGCAGGTTTGTAGTACTCTACGGTATGCAAACTCACTGCACACATCTGCCACATTCATGCAAAAGCGAGTCAAGCTCTTAAGGTCTGCCCAGGTGTCATTAATACCAGATAGCTCAATCATTTGGATAATTCCATCCAATTATCCATGCTTTGAGAAGGCCATTCATTGGTCCTAAAAGAACTTGACTGACCTCAACTACAGACTTTGTGGGCAAAAACACTTTTACAGATATGTCTGATCAGCTGCCTGTGAAGATGCTCTGTAAAGTAAAGTCCTGTTTCCTTTCTTTTAAAAGCCAACTGAAAAAGGACATGCAGACATATTCTTCATTCGCTCACATCAATACTTGTGGACCAGACACCTTGATAGGATCCTAGGCACACTGAGGCCTGCTGGGGATCCATGACGCACACAGCTAGCAATCCTGGTCCTGTGGCCAACTGGACAAAGCTGATCAGAGTTGAAGAAAGTCAGAATGCATGTTAAGAAGCAACAAGGAAACTTAGTTTGATTTGGTAAATCCAGAACAGGCTAAAAGTAAGAACTTTACCTAATCATCCATGGTGCTCTTTGAGGGTAGAGATCAGTCTATCACTGATTAAAGATACATGTTTACCTATCTTCTTATTTATATATATCAAATACTAAAACACAGGGTGCAGTACTTTGTCAGATTACGTGATACGGTTGATTTTGCAGTGGGCTGGTAAAGTAATGAACTGAAAGGCTTGTCACCATTTTAGTCTTTTGGTCTTGCAGTAAGGACATTCCGGTTTGCTGGATGCGCACTGTTCACATAATATGTAATGCTGGCAGGACTGCAGGACTATACTTCTGTCGTTTTCATGGCAAACCACACATTTCTTGGAATGTAGTTGAAATATTAACTGTGAGCAAATAAATAAAATGTATTAAATTATTACATTAAATAAAGGGAAAAGCATACTTGTTTTGGTCAGTTGTATCTTAAGAATATTTATAAACTTCTGTATCCATTTTTAATAATATATATTACATTTTATTTGATAAACATACATTTAAAGGGGAACTATATTAGATTGCGGCCTACTTCATTCTTCTAAAATAATAGTCTAAATTTTAAATTGATGCTTTAGATCTTTGTTTACACCACTGATGTTGGTCAACAAGCCCGAAACAGCTGTAGAGAGTTTGGAAAAAAATACTCTGTAATATTACGGTGCATCTGTACTATACACCAGCGGTTCCGGGTGTGCAGTTGGCCATTGGTGCACGAAGGAATAATTCATATGGCCCAGCCCACTATACAGAAATAAGGGAAAATACTCTTTTTTGGGATATGTGATGGAATGAGACATGAATACAACTGGTTCTAAGAAGGCTCTACTGTGCTTTACTATTTATACAAATTATTTATTCCAAAAATAACATTTCAATACAGAGTAAATCTGTGTGCAACACCAGCTTAACAAATCATTATGGGATTCATAAATAAAAAAAATGGAAGAAGCTGCTTGCTTTAGAGATGCAACTTCCTAATTAAAACTCCATAAGACCCATCTAAACAGAGCAGTCGGTTGATGTGTAAATATGAACTTGTGCTAGTGAGCTCTGTAAACAGTTTTTGTCAGCAAAGCAGCCAAGGTTAGCCTGACAAGCATATGAATAGGGGCACCACCTCCTGGCTGAAAATGTAATTCCGAAATGTTGATATGCAATATTTCCTTGACTAATAAACATGTAGCCCTAAACATAAATAAATGTAAAACGTGATATACATTCCCTTTAATAGAGTGCAACCACAATAGCTTGAGAAGAATGTTGGATTATCTTAGTAAGCAAGTCCAGAACTGCTGGCATGCTTGATAAAAGCCCATGTGTTGCAGATTCATAGGCCTATTCCACTTAAGTCTGCTAAGAGATAGGCAGGAAGTCTCTTCAGTGGGAGTCATTCTGCCATGTGTATACTATGCTCTCCCTTCTATTTAGGTCTACTCAACAGAAACCCAAACACACACACATCAGAGGACATGCTAAGATAAGGCCTTCATCGTGTTCTGCAAGGCACCAATAATTTAGGGTTAAGTTAATTACTCACTAGGAAACTTGGTAATTTTACCTTTTCAGGATTTAAAGCCCTGGACTACAAACTACAGCAGCAGGCTGCCAGTGCTAAAACAAAATATATCGAAATTTAGGTGCCGTCTTACCCCATCAATTGTTTCTAGGTCAGAACACAGCTGACTTTTCAGAGAATGTAACTTTGGTAAAGGAAGCTTTTCCATATCGCTGTATTTCCTTAATGTGGAAAACTGTGGAGATACACGGATGACATCAAATTCTTCTTGTAGCTTTTTCAGTTTGCCTTCCACCTCCTCCTTCTGTAATAATGCTAGCTGTCGGTCTGCATCGGCTGCCTTGGCACGCTCCTTGGCTTCTTGGGCTTCCTTCTGCCAGGCATCACATGCCTTTGGAAGTCAACAGAAGAATTACAATAACTACCCATATGTATCATATATGTTTTATTACATAATGCATTTTAAAATCGGATGACAAATATAGTTTTGTGATAAAGAGATGCTTGCAAGCACCCAGATCTCACAGACAGTCAAAAAGTGTGCTCTCCTGAATGCTTTCTAATTTACTGGTGCAAAGAAATAACAGTGTATCTAAACCCAAGAACAAATATGTAATCTATTCAAGCTCACCAGTTCTTAGAGATGTGGTGGCTGCACTAATTTTGTTTTTGTTTTTTTAAAACTCTGCAGTGTAAAGACAAGTTTAGTGTCCAAAAGGTGTATGCATTGCAATGTACTCTTATATTTATGCCACTCAGAAAGAACACATAAAAACATCGCATAGCATAAAATCTCAGTAAAATATATAAACGGTAATAAAGACATAAAAACAAAAGATCCCATCCTTCAAAATGTTAAAAAACGATCCTTTATCACAGCACTATAAGACAGTCTCTCCAACCTCCTCTGCGGATGAGGTAGTTCAGAAAAGATCCTACACCTCCTGCACAATGCCCTTGGAAGAAGTCAGCTGATGATGAAACACGTTGGTTGGGCGTGGTTACACGGTCACTATACTGATTGAGCTACGGACTGCAGCTACAAGGAAGTGTGGGATCTTTTCTGAGCCACCTCATCCGGAGAGGGGTTTAGAGAGACTTAGGCCTTGTTCACACCAAATGCAGACCAGATCCGGTCAGGTTTCTGCACACGCAGCGTAGTGGGTTGTGCCGCGTTTTAGACGCGTTTTTGATGCGTTTAGGGCCGGTTTGGGTATAAAAAAAACCTTTTTTTTTTTTAAAAGCTTAACATGGACTTTCAGGCACTTGCATGCGTTTTTGATGCGTTCCAGACCAGATCCAGAGCAGGTAAAATAGGGCTTGCCGCATTTTTTTCATCCGGTCTGGATCTGGTCTGCATCCGCACGCTGCGATGTGAACTGGAGGTCAAAATACCATAGGAATACATTGGACGCAGTTTTGATCCGGTCTGCACCTGCTCTGGTCCGGATATGATCCGCACTTGGTGTGAACAAGCCCTTAGGCTAGGTTCCCACCTAGGCGATTCAGATGCTGAGCTGTTGTCGCACGTTTTCGATCGCGCGACTGTTCATTGAAAACCGTGTGCATAGAGATGTCTGTGGGACCCAAACCGCGCGACAACCGCCCAAAAATCGCTCCTGCACCTTTTCGCGTGACAGGCGATTTCGTCGGCGCAACAAACCGCAAAGGTGTGAACAGACTTCAATGTGAATCTGTGTTTTGTGCGATAAATCGCCTAGGTGTGAACCTAGCCTAATGGTGCTGTGGATGCTTTTCTTTATTTTTCTGAGCGGCATAAATATAAGAGTGGGGATTTGATGTAAGGAAGTTCTAGTGCTGTGAACCTCAGCGGAAGGATATGGAGGAAGGATATGGAAATGAGCGCTGTCTGACACGTTTTTGATGTGGTCTCCTTTCGGTGAGTGTGGCATGTAATACACAGGACACATCTTTGGAGTGAAATGGCACATATTGAAAAGCACGGAAATCATACACTAATGTTCGTGTATGAAGGGCAAAGGTCATCTGAGCACGATTTGGGAGCACTTTTAAAGGAACTTTTTGGACTTATTTATGGACACTTAATTGGGTTTAAAGTTCACATTTTGTGTATAAAGTTTGTTGTGGAGCACTTTGTATTTGACCATTTGTGGACACTGATTTGTAGTTATAGACTGTCTGTTATATTGCTATTTTTCACTGTATTACATGCAGGGTAAAGGGTTTTTATGTGCAGTGTTTTTTAAGAATACATGTACAGGTGAAACTCGAATAATTAGAATATCGTGCAAAGTTCATTTATTTCACTAATGCAACTTAAAAGGTGAAACTAATATATGAGATAGACTCATTACATGCAAAGCAAGATAATTCAAGCCGTGATGTCATAATTGTGATGATTATGGCTTATAGCTCATGAAAACCCCAAGAACCCCAAATCCACAACCTCAAAAAAGTAGATTATTACATGCAATCAATAAAACAAGGATTGTACATAGAACAATGTCGGACCTCTGAAAAGTACAAGCATGCATATGTACTCAGTACTTGGTTTGGGCCCCTTTTGCAGCACTTACTGCAATTACTTTTGCACGATATTCTAATTATTCGAGTTTCACCTGTATATTGTAAGCTTTCCAAAGTAATTGATATGCACAATAATCTCATGAACAGCTCTAACGATAGTAATGTAATGCTTTTCAGGGCCAATCAGATACCATGTAAAAACACATGCTAAATTATAGACAAACAAAGAAAATACTTTTCTCAAAACTAGGCCAAAAGACAAAAAAATTACTTAAATTTAATTTCTTAAGGTGCAATTAAAGTAAAACCATTGCCGCAACCACTGCTGCTCTTAAAAAAAAAAAAATGCTAGTTCCTTGGCTGTCATGCTCATCCTATGGCTTCACTACGAAGAGAATTGGTGACAAATAAAAAGCAATCAGGTAAACATTTTAATTTAACGACTGTGCTTATTCCAGGCCACTGGCACACAAAGCAGCGAAGGTTCAGTACAAGCATGACAGTCAGAGAACCAGAACAAGTCTACTGTACAATAGCAACATCCATATTTCTATACTATGACAGGTTCACTTTAATCAGTAGCAACTGGCTGAAAACCAGGCAGCCTAAGAACCGGTATTTTTTACAAATGGGGACAGTGATCACTCCTGGGATAAAAAAATAAATAAATAAAAAGAAGCCAACTACTGCACAGAGCTTATGTAGCATCACTTTAAACAAAATGCCTTACCTGTTTTACTTGCTGCCAGGAATCTTCCCATCTTTTTATTTTCCGCTTGGCCTCATCACGCTCTCTCCTAATTCGTGTCAGTTCATTGCCATTTGAGCTTGTACTGGTGGAACTGGTAGGACCACTACTGAACACTGGGGATGGACTGGGAGAGAAACTCCCACTGACAAAGTCCCAGATACTGCCTGTCACCCCGTTCAAACCTGTCAAAAATAAAGTTTGAAATGCGACATTACAATCTTAAAGAGAACCAGTCAGACTAAGCTTATGAAGGAATCTGGATTTTCACAGAGTAGGGGAGGGTTATAACGCCTGTCAGCTTTGTTTGCCATCTGCGTCCCATTGGGGAGAACTCTCTTCACATACTGTCCAATAGCCACAATAAGAAGTTAGAGGAAATCCCTCCAAAGTGAGAGGGAAGTCCCTGGTGGTCAGCAGGGTCCCCAGAACTCGTGTCCCCCATTGGAAGATTTCCCTTCTTTTCCAGTTCTGTGGACAACCCATCCTTTGGGATATTATTTCACGTTCAGTGATAATGGCAAGTTTTCTTTTTTTTTCCTTTATTTTAACCTCATGATCCAGCCAGTAAGCCTGTTATTTTTTTTATCATCCTTTAACAGGCCAAGCTGTCCAGCAACAGTGGCAGATAGAGGGTTCAGACCATTTAATACTGATAGGGGGGCTTACAATGGTCAGCTTTTAGTCATTTATGTAAAACCTTTATCCCACAAAAGGGGAAAAAATGTGATGCCGTAACTGCTTAAAAAGTGTTAGCTGGAGTTCAGATTTAATTTTTTAGTCAAGTCCATTTGAATTTGATAGTCCACACAACCCTCTCCACAGGGTGGCAATGCTGCCTCTGAAGGGTGGTTCCTTTGTTGCTCCATAGACTGGAGCCATCCTAAAACAGGAAGTGTGTTACTGATCGAATTACCAGATGAAAATGAAGGTGAAAAAATCCCCACT